GATGTAATAATTCAGGAACGATGACAACAATTACGGCGAATACGTGACGCACACAAACGATTCGATACCACAGCTGAAATGGCAAAGTAAAAATGCTTTAGATATAAAATTTCAACACTTTCTATACTACTTCATATTCACAGTAATATTATGGTAATACAAAGGACGAACCACATGGTAGTATAAGACCGGCAGTAAATTCCCACCTTTTTTTGTTCTTTGCAGTCACGAAATGAATCTCATTTGGACAGTTCGGTAATTACGTTCAAAAATTCACTAAACTAACATAATTCAGAAGGTGTTAATGCAAATTTCTAAATATGCTAATGAAAATGTTGCGAACTGCAATCTTACAACTGCTACCACCTTTAATGCAGCTGCAACTCCGTCATCCCATCCCCGAGGTGTAGGAATGCACTTGCATTAGAAATGCGAATAACTGCAATGAAAACGAATCGAGCTTGTTTGGCAAGTAATTACAATATTTTCGTGATTTATGCCGACTCCGAAATTGGATATGAAAAAATGCTCCTTCAGATATTTTGAGGTTTACTAAATTGCATTTTAAATTTAACAAGATTGCAGATTCCCTCAATTCAGGAATTTGTTTCTTTTAAAAAAATATGCAAATGAAATTCTCTTACCTTTTGAGGATATGTGTCAAATCAAGTGATTTATAAGGTCTTGAAAATAAAACGAAGATTTCAAGCTTTAAAATAAGAGGAAAATTATTATAGTACTCTGTACTTATGTACTTAACTGATTAGACATTAAAGACATAAGGCATCCTTAGCTTTGTTCACAGCCTCCGGCTGCCAATCCAAACAGTGACTTGCTGTCACTAGTTATTAGTACCGAGTGTCTTCATTCGTTAATCACTAGGGCCTTCCTTCAAATATACGGACGTGTTCTGCACCAGCAAACATTAAATCAAACACCTTTCTAGCCACAGCATTTTCATCCATTCGTGTGACAGGACCAAGCCATCGAAGTCACTAAATGTGAATATTATTGGTGTATAGCTCGTACAGTTCATCGTTTCACCTAATTCGATACTTCCTGCCAACATGTAATCATATGTCTTCCGAAGAATTTCTCTCTCGTATGACCAAGAGGGTTTTATTTCTCAAATGCTACTTAATCCTGTTGACTGCAGTGATTCTTCGCATCAAGTAGTATGGATAATGATATCAATTACTCTATAATATGTTGACGTAAATTAATTTATTTAGATGTTGGGTTTTTTTTTTAAATCTGCCTTGAAAAATGTGTCAAAGTAACTACGAAACCTCAGCGATATTTATATATTAAAGATATATAAACCACGGCATTATGAAAAAACAGATAAATTGAGATAGTTCTATGAATTTCACGGTTATTATTGAAAATGTCTGATTTTTTTCTGTACAGATTCCTTATTAAATAAAAAATATTTTAATTATCTTCAATTTTATTTATATATTGTAAAATATACTCACATCCTCGCACATGCGTTCACTAACGCAAACATATTGTCAACAAAAGCCACCAGCAAGAAAGGAACGTACCCAATTCGAGCATGTCCATAATTTTTAATGTTTCAGGAATGCATAAAGGAATTATGTGCCAATGTAGCATTCTCAGTTCGTAGTCCATATATGGTACCTGCAAAAAATAGGATGCCTTTATATCGGAATAAATTAAGCAGCATAAAACGTTGTCGGCCTGCTGGTTTTCCAGTTTATTTTTTTCTTGCGAACTTTCATTAACACAAAATTTTATTTAATTTTAAATTTGTAAATAAATTTATAAAAATAAAAATTAATAAAATCAACAAAATAAAAGCAGCAACAAAAACTGGTTGCAGAAACTATTTCAGTTGTGAAGTCGACTTTATTGACACTAATAAATTTTTGTTATTAATATGCATGAATTTAAAAATTATTGAGGGAACAAGGATTTTTGGCAATTGTTGAATTCTTAATTTGACAGCAAAAGTTCGAGATAAAAAATTGAAATGGCAAAAAAGATTGACAGCTGACAACTTGTAAGCATAATTTGAGGTGCCGAGCGTGAGTAAAATAAATATCGGTCCATTAAAGCCAAAGTCCAGTACAGGTAAAAGAAACATTTGAAAGCAAAACGACAAAACGGTTGTGAAGAAACTAAAGTCGAGGGACTTTCTTAGTTTATAGCCGCTAAATGCAATCGCATCAATCATTAAAGCACTACGAATTCAAAGCTTTCCAGCTGATCACTTGATTTATGTGTCATCAAACACTGTTGCAGCAATTTTCCAGCAATGTTAATTGCAGTGGAGTTGGTCGGTGTCATTTTCCAACAGCCAACACTTTACTGCATCTACTGCAACTAATTGCCAACAACAATTTTCACTACTAAGCGTTTCAAATAGGCAAAGTATAAAATACACATTTTTATTATTTATTTTTTTAGCTCAAAAAAACTAAAATAAATTTGAAAACATTTTCGTTTTTTATATGTTATTTTCAGAAATTGTTTATTAATTACTTGTTAACATCAAACAAACATTTTGTTGAAACAATGTTGCTAACATATCTGACTACAACTCATTAACATACAAAACACGATGTACTCGTGCAAATAAAATCCTTGTAAATGTGTAAAAACTTTGTTAGAAAACGTGTTCATTCAAATTTTTTTTATTGCATTAAATTGTATTAATGCTAAAGTTGATATAATAAATAAAAATTAGAAGTTAAAAATAAGTAATATTAATTTAATATGTTTAAATAAAAAAAGCATATGTTTAACATTACTTGTGTGCCATTTGTAGCTCAAACGTCTTTCATCAAAACTGTCAATTTTTAATAATTTAATAGCAATTTGCAAAATCTTACTCTAACATATGTTACAAATGCTCTTCTTCATTTTAAATGATTAAATTAATAATTTATTGAAACAACTCATATATATTTCAAATTAAAATTAAACAGCAGTAAGTCCATTTGAAGTTAAAAACGAAAACTACCTTTTAAATCTTGCGCCTTACAATGAAAACACAAAGCTTAATAAGTAAAAATGGTTTTAGCGTTTTTCAAAATATTCTCAATGGTAATTAATACATTTCTGGTTTGGTTGAACCAGTTTTCGAAACAGTTTTGCCACTCAGTTTCAGTTTGCTACTCCAAAACCCGGATATTGAATGCCCCAAACCCTGGAATCTTCAGGCATAGGAAAACGCTCACCATGCATTTCTTCTTGATATCTGGAAACAAAAAAAAAGCATTGAGTACTGTAAGGCGAATGACCCATCAATTCAACGTTTTGAGTGCTCAAAAAACTCTCTTGTTATCTGATGTCATGATAGAGGATGATCTCTCTTCGATGGTTGATTTTCCCCAGTTCTCCAAAAACTTCTGGCAAAGAAATACTTGTGTACCACTCAAAATTGATCGTTAATGTTCTTCAAATGATACAAATGCGACATGATCTGTTCTTCTAAAAAAACATGCGACCATTTGTAGTTTTCTGCTCACTTTAGACCAAAACCCAAACAATGGATTACTGTTTTGTTTTGGGCTCCTAGGCGGAGTTCCATAATTCATCACATATAACGATGTCGTAAGCGTGTTTTGAGCTATGTCAGCCATATTTTTACAGCAATTCCTTACCGTAATTCACACTTGCCTTCTTTTAATCAGTTGTTAAATTATGGAGCATAAAACGGAAAGTAATCTTTCTGACAGCTAAATGTATCTATAAAATTGAATGTATGCTGTCCCTCTAATGCGCAAGAATATCTCTATTCTTGCGATGTTTTTTGGTGCAGTAGCCGTTCTTCGACGACCTTCACAAAAACCTAAGAAGAAAAAGGCGACTGAGCTCGAACTCAATGAAGGTTTTATAGTCGCTGGATGTGGTGTTGCATCACTAAATGTCGAAGTTAGTTGACCGATGCATTCTGGTTAAACCGGCCGTGCTACTGGTTTAATATCACGCTCAGGTATGTTTAAGTCTGAGCGTAAGTGAATCCATTTGAGAGAGTGACAAATGAACGTGAACGTACTTTAACATATTGATCATATTAATTAAAAATATTGATTTGAAATCCTACATTTGCGACATCGAACAAATTTTGATAAACGAACACCTTTAACATATAGGTCGTCGTATAAAAAGGACATGTCTTTAATTTCTACATTTGCAATATGGCATAGATACTTAAGAAACAAAGACCCCAATATGAAAAAAAGACATATCAAGGGCTAACTCATATCTTTGTAAATTATTTTCATTCATTTCCGCAAAGCAAATTTAAATTAATTTTCCACTTCTGATCTCTGTCTCAGCAATTATGTAGATGTAGCACTACTAGATTAATCACCAGAACATATATTTTAATTATATTTAGAATATATTATACCAAAATATAAAACATGTATTGTGAATAGATTAAGGAAACCAAAACTGCGATTAATGTAATATTAATCTGGATTAAATAGTTTTGATTTATGAATATCAAATTTTGGATTTTTACCAGCGATAAAGATATCAAGAAAATGGATTAAAATTTTTTAAGTCTTCTACCATAAGTAATGAATTGAGTAGATTTGCAGTTATATTTATACACAATATATTCTTCAACTGTAATACATAATTTAGCCATAAATCAAAACTATACATAAGGCTGAAACCCGGTTATTTCATTCACCTATCTCGAATATTATCCAGAATTCTGGTACATTGACGTATAATATTTTTGGTGCAACACTACATAAAAATAAGTAAGTACTTTTAAGAAACATCACTAGAAGTGATATAATGTTGCTCGGACTTTGCATTTTTGAACCAATCCGATTTTCCGTATATTAACCAATTTTTATAATAATATAACATTTTATAATAATATAAATATGTCTTTCGAACGATAACTTAACCTTAAATTAAAATTCACTATATAATATTTTTTGAATCTAGTAAGCTTACGAATTTTTGAAATAAACTATATACCAAATCAAAATATTTTGTATTTTAGTTAAAATAAATTCCTTTTGGCAAACGTTACTCAAAATTTATCGTTTGGATTTTTGCAATGTGCTTATAATGAAGTCTTATATATAAAATATAACTTAAGACCACAGTTTAATTTCGTATATTAAACTGAAGAGACGCTATAGCGTTAAATAAAATATGAAAAATATATAAAATTTCTAATTAAATGGTATATAATAATCAGTGCTATTAAAATGAAAAAGTGAGTTGATGTGCATATATATATATAAAAAAAGTATCACAAATATGGGAGACAATTAGTTACAATTATTAAGAGTTCTTGGTGAGTGTTGTGAGAAGCAGGATTGTTCTATTTCTCAAAAAAAAATTTCTTTTCAAAATATTTTTCTTTTGAAAAGTTTTTGACATTTATAAATTTTTTTCTAGATATTCAAAAATCAAGAAAATAATGACATATGGTTTTGATGTAACCAGAACACGTACTGTGCTCATGAAACTTGCCTTTTGTAAAAACCGGAGGTCTCGCGGTATGAATACTTGACTTTGTTCCTTAGATGTTAACCGGCTACTGGAAAGAGTGTTGGAATAGCGACGGCGGGATCTAATCAGAGACAAGCTATTTTGTACAGGTATTGGATTCTTTTTGCGTAGTGGAAAAGTGAAAGAATTTTACATTATATTAGTTAGTCTTCTTCTAATGAGATGCAGGTAATTTTAATAATTATATGTCTAATTATACCTATTCAAAGTTTTTACTCTAGCAACAATGACGATTCCAGAAATTATGGAACTTTACTTACAGAGATTGTGATTAAATTTTTGTGACTTTTACTGAATCGCGTAAAAATTTCAAAAGTTTAAAGTAAGTATATACCTAAGTAAGTATATATTTAGTAAGTATATATTTAAAGTAAGTATATATATGGTATATTTGATTTAAATCCAAAATTAATATTGTTCTATTTGTAGCTCAGTTGTGCCAGTTGTAGTAAAGGGGCCCTTGTGAGAACTAAAGTCTAATTTCTGTTTTAACTTGGACATCTAATGTAAAGAAAAAGCTTAACTAAAGCTGTTTGTTTAATAATTTAATTCTTAGTTATTAGAACGTATCTGAAGCGTTGAATTATTAAAGTGATAACCGAATGAAGTTGGGGTCATTGTATCGAAACAAACGTAAGTGGCATTAGGAGACAGTGAAGTAAATTTTGATACATGATGAACTCTGCTTTCAAAACAAAATCGAAAGAGAGACAACCAACAAACTGTGTAATTTGACTAACTTTTCTTCATTTATTTAATCCTGTCAGTAATCCGATATTCTGAATTAATTGAAGGCTTGAGAATTTTAGTATAGTTCTCTACTGAAGCAGAGTTTATAATAAGCTACTACTGTTGTATCTATGGTAATATAGACTATATTTTCTTAATGTTTGTACTACAAAAATTTGGCAAATTTTTATTAAAATCAGTGGAATAACAATTTTATTGTTTGTATATTTATATAGTAACTAAGAAAGTTAAAAGTGAGAAAAACAAAAAAAATTAAAAATGGCTTATGGCATATTTACAGATTTAAATTATACAGAGTAACCAGCACCTGGTGGGATACAGGCTACAGACTAAAAAATGTTAGTCATTATAGACTTCACTGTGTTTATCAGATGTTTTGCAATAATTTTCTATATTGACCCAAGAGAGTATTGAAAGAGTTGCATTAAAGCGAAAACCAGACACTGACGGTTTGCAATCTTGAATTGTTAAACTTAAGTTGCATCTTAACTGAAAAGGACCCATATCTGTGTAATGATAGTACAGAAAAGTAAAACTTTAACAGAAATTGCCTTTGCCCATCACATTTGACCCATATATGTTTTTTACATAACTTAAAAAAAAATTACTCTATGGATATCACGATTAAACTTATCAATCATACTGTTTTGTCACACATTTCAGAACAAAAATGTTGGAAAAAGTATCAAATAGTTTTGAAACACGACGTGTATCGTAATATCTACTACGAGTTCCAAAAGCAAATACTGTTTTTTTTTAATTTATTCTACTACATTACGAAATGGGCTTATCTAGTTGGAGACCTTAAGATAAATAAACGCTTTCAGACGAGTACTGAACAGTTACACCAACTAATATGTGACACAGTCCATTTCCTCGTCTATGCTTTAGCTACCACAATAGTCTCAAAGAGGTTACCTGAACATGGAAGTATGCATATTAATAAAACACTGTCATGTCAGTACAATCATTATTACACATTTTAGAAGGGACTCTTAGAAACTTTTCATCTATTAATCAAACTCAATCCCTTTCTTCCCAAACGCAGGTCCTGTTCATATCGTTCTTCCTTTTATTGGTTTAGTTCATTTAATTTGTGATTTTAGATGCTTGTAACATTAATTTTATTTAAAATTACATGTTACACGACTTATAAAAAAACAACGCTTGGAGTGAATAGAACACGTTATTACTGTAGGTATGCCTAAAGGACATCGTCACTAATATTAGAACGTAAATTTAGAACCTGAAAAACCTTGAAAGAATGGATTAGCAATATGCAGCATGATCGCGAATAAAGAAATATCAGAAAGAAAGAAAGTAATTGTATAAAACTAAAAAAATGAGAGGACGTTGTGGAATAAACTTATGTTCTAAATGGGCTGAGTATCTATTTTCATGATAATAATGATACACTGATCTTATTTAACGGTCAGTTAGTTAGATAGTTGAAATGGAGTACAGAACGAACCCTTCTTAATTGGTTAGAAGAAGTTTAAGCTTAGGTCAAGGGTCAAGTTGATTGCATTATAATTACAGGGAATTTAAACGATCTCAATGGATTGTGTAGCTATACAGATAAGGTAATATACAACCTATTTGAAGCTTAAGCTGATTGCTTATGGTTTGCTGGCTTATGTTCTAAATGAACTATGGAGTTATAAAGAAAATGATGATACACTAAACTTATAGCTCAAGATTCAAGCTAGTAAGTAGCATTATGGTTTGCTTAAGTTTAAAACATAAGCTGGTAGCTAAATAGACTGTATAGGCTATGATAGTGGTCGTGATAAAGTGAATTTATTTGGGACTCAAGTTGGCAGTATTCCGTTTGCACTTCGTTTGAATTGCTATTTTTCGACCGATCTGATTACTTCCTGAAAGAACAACTAAAATGTGTGGTATTTCTAAAACTTTTTTATATTTCTTTAATGAGTATAGCAATGTTTTTAATATACAAATATTAATAACCGGATGTAACCATTTTCTGTGTTGCCTCCCAAAGACTCTTTTACTAGTTTCGTGTGCTAACACAATTAATACTAAAAGCAAGTAGTCCTCAGGTCATAAAATTTTACATCAGCTCAAAATTATAGATAATCTAAACGAAACTCTCATTAAAAAAAAATACTGAACAAATTACAGAAAATTGGAGAAAAAAAAGAATATTAGAGAAAGGGAAGAGGGCAAAAAGAAGAAGTGTGATGACTATTTTGCAAATTGAAATTGCAACACATTTGCTGCCATTACGATTATTTCCTTTGTATTCAGCAGTGCGACATGAGAGCCATCAGCAACATCAGCAGTTGCCACAGCGCAGCAATTGGCTGGCCAAGTGAAAAAGTGTCATCAGCAACATTTACAGCCAATTAAGTGCTAAAAGGGTTTCCACATTCATCTGTGCACATGCAGCCAAGCGTCCAAGTCCACTTAGCAACCACATAATAATTTAAATTGCGCTCATTCAAAACAATTTGCTTTTTATTATATTTCCTTTGTAATTTTTAATTCGAACTAAAATTGCTGAAACAGAAAATGAAATAGTTTTTGAAAAATCCAAAAAAAATTTAAAAAACTCAATTTAAATGCGAAAAATATCAAAAATAAAGGGTAACCACCGTGCAGACTGCAATTGAAATAATTAAATTTTTGTGGTTTTCTGTCAATTTCAAAGCAATTCTCTTCCTCCCTGCGTGCGGATAATAACTCGTCCATGGCAATGAGCAAAGCAACAATTTCTGCAACAATTTGACACTTTTTATTGAGCTTCCACAAAAAACTATTTCAATTTAGTTTTTAATATGAAAATGATGTGCTGTCATACGAAAAAAAAAAAACTTAAAACAAAACTTAAAAAAGCGTTAAAAAAACTGTAATTTATGCAAGCCAAATTGGACAGAAAAATGTTAATTGAAATTATATGAAAAGTTGTGGTTTTGCGGTTGCTATCAAATTATTTTCTATTATTTTTAATTTCTTTCCGGCATTTCAAAATGCATTTTTTCATTTTTTTCTAAATTTTATTTGGTACTTACGTTAAGCGCAAATTTACTGTCAGAATGCATCTAATAAAATAATTCCCCAGCGGTAGATAGCTTTGTCATATGCATCTTTCTCTCCTCCTGAGCTTATTGTGTGTTTATCATTTAAATTCTTAACATAACTTACACTTAAAATAAATTTGCACTAAAAGAGGCCACAAAGATAAAGCTACAAAAGGCACCTCTGTCGCCTACGCTACTACCAACTAAGAGCAACTCATAAATTTCGTACTATTTAAGGCAAAACCAACCGGCCTCAGCACTGAAGCTGCGTTAGATACAAACGGTAGTCCTCGGCATGTTGCCGTGCTGCAAATGTTTCGCAATAATTTTTAACTTTTATACTCTAAAACTGAATCCGTCCGTCTGCATATGCAGCGCCTACTAAGCGAACACAAGGAAAACATATCCAGGAAGTAACACTAAACACAAAATGCGACGAACTTTTGCTTATCGAGTATAAAAATATTTACTCAAATAGCTTTTTTAATAAAATTTATCCGAATTTGTTCGTTTAATTACGTTTAAGTTACGGGGGTGGTTACGAAAATGTTGTCACACCCTTTTACATTCCACTATAATACTACTGGAGTTAGTGTCTTGAACTTATTTCATTCTTATCAGACGCAATGCTTACGTTAAATATATCCTATGGAAAATAACTATGCTTAGAAATCGTGTTTATAGTCTACGATTTATAGTTTCTGATACACACTCCACTGTTGGAGTTACGATTTTGAAATCATCTTATTCTTATATGAAGCAATGCTTGTGTTAAACATTGCCTATGGAAAATAACTATGCTTAAAAATCGTTCTTACAGTCAGCAATTTATACTTACTGCAGTCCTCTTCTCCCAAGGGAGCATAGGGCTTCACAAACATAGGGCCAAACAATTGATAGTTCATGATAATTATACAATACATAAGTGAAAAAATTAAAAAAATTAAGTCAATAAATTAAATTAGCACAAAAATACAAAATTGAATTGAACCTTAAAAACCCCGCTGGACTACAATACTTACTGGGTTTTATTCAGACAAGAATCGTGCCAAACAGCTGTTTCAACTAAAGCGCGCCTAGTCAGTATATTTCAGGAAAAGAAAGAATTAGTGAAGCATGTAATTAATCTGGTCTACCTTCATAATGACTTTTATAGTAGTTATGGTTCTACAAAGTGGAGAGAGCTATCTCATATTTTAGTTTCCATTTTTCATCACAAAATTTTTTAACATATCTGAGACCCCTCTGCTCACGGACCGGTCAGAGTCATCATTCCTTAAAATTAATGATATAACCATGTGTATTGACTGCTTGCAATATTTAAATTTTATTTGAATTCGGAATTTATACATGTCATTTTCGACATTATCAATGCGCAGGCCGCTTTGGTGTTTAGACTTGTTTTAGTGGCTTTATCTATGGTAACATAACCGGCAATTATTTGTTTTGAAGTGAGGTTTTATGTACGATACTGCCACTTCAATTCAATCAAACCTAAGAACATAAACAGTATGTAATGGCAGTAAAAAAGTGAATATATGAGTTTTTATAGTAGTAGCCTAACAGAGAGAACAAATGGAATTACGTTGTTCTAATGTAATAAGATAATATATACATATGTTAGTAAAGAGAGTTTATACCATGACTGTTTATAGCCATTTTCACATTACTGTGAGTTTACTCAACATTAATTGCCTAACACCAGATCAATACAGCACAAAGTAATCGTCGTAGCTTCACTCATGCATGCAGTCAATGCTAAGCTAACCTCATATATAAAAGATGTCTTGTATGAAAGTCTGTTTTTTAGGTGGACAACACTATTTCAGTGGCAATTATTGTGACAATTTACAACTAATTTATTTTCGGTAGGGGTATTCACTCTGTGTTGCAAACTGATTGCAAGATGCACGAAATGTACAGAAGACAAAGCTTTTTGAAACTGCTTGCAATCTTGCTATACCTAAACCCATACATATGCATAAGTTTACAACGAAACAAAAAAGGAAAAAGAAGCAACTATTTTGAGATCAGTTGCTTTTGATATGAATGTAATATGCTACAAAAACAGCTGTTTGATTTTGATGTTGCAATTCTACAACAGACATATTCTCTTGCACATTCATGCATATCGTGCACCTTGCAA